CGAATTCGAAAATAGAATTTTTGTTTCTACCAACGCGAACCGATTTTCGAAATTCGCGAATATATTTCGTTCCTTTCTGCATTATGTTATTCCCAACTATAGATTACACGTACGAGGTTACACAATAATCGATAAACAGTTAACAAATAAGATTGAAAAAAGAATATCCTCGAGTTCGTGAGCAAAAACCATTCTTTCCACATTCTACATACGGATCACTGTTGATACGGCGAAATACGTGCGAAATATTTTCCAACAAACTATATTACACTAAAATATCATTAAAATCGACGTGATACACTTGGAAACGATTCCTTGTTGGTCAAGTACCGAATGCAATATTAGCGGACGCGTAGCCTAAATAAAATACGAGGAAGCTGATTTCCGTCGATGCGAAAGACGTGTGAGCCTATATGTATAAACGACATGACAACAAATATCAATTGTTACGGTTGACACTGCAGTAAGCGTACCTGACAATTTGAAATAGTGCTGATAAATAGAAGCCGTAAATTCCTAGCGTTGCTTCGGTAGATGCTATCGCCAATATTCCAAGTGAACCCGTCACTACGATCTGTACGCATACCAAGTCACTCTCCCTGCTTCTCTCATTGTAAAAGTATCCAATAAATCTAAGGTAGTGCACTTGGTACTTCGATTGCAATAACGTGGGAATAAGTAGAAACAAAATGTACATGAGGAGTACAATGATTGCTAAGCCTGAAATACAGAATTATGTTTAATTGTGTATTAATGTGTAGGCGAGATTCTGGCTTTGACGGAATAAAGCACCGATGCTCCTTTTTATTTAAGTCATTCTACAAATAACTCGCAAGCAATTGATTCGGAAGAGGACGAAGGAAAGCAATATTAGGGTGCACGCATATTAATGATCACTGATATTGTTTTCCTGGAAACAATGATTAGAATCTCCTAAACCGTACATTCCAAAACCTGCTTGAAAAAGTTTCTGTTCAAAGTGGATCTTTTAAACGAAATCTGATAAAGTACTTTCATAACCAGTCAACACTTAACGAAGTATTGCAACTCATATCAAGAATTAATAAACGTTACTCCAGCAACTAGGAGTGTAATATTTAAGGCATTATTATTATTATTTAGCAAATATTCGAATTATAGAATAGATTGTTCCTTTTTCAGTTAAAATTGCGACGCGTAGATTGTTCTCTAGAAATCGTAAGGATGCAAACATTTTCCAATGCATCATTATCAAGAGACATTTGTCGACAGTTCTTACCTAAAACCAAAAAAGTGAGTCGGTTCGACTTTCTGATCTGCTTCTTAAATATTTCAATTTCTGCTGCATTTTTCAGTATTGCGAAATCATTCTGTATATCTTCTATAAAAGACTTTAGCTAGATACACATGAAAGGAGAACTGTCAGATCATAATAGTGAAATGCACAAGGAACAGTAATCGCGTAATTACTTTGGAAATAGAATAACTTCGAATTTTGTACTTACTAGATCGAAATTAGCTATAAAACCGCAGTACCGAAAAAAGTACACCAGCATTAGAAATGTGTACGACAACATCGAAACTATATTTCTTAATGTAATTTCTACATTTCTTAGCGTAAGCATCTGGAAAATATGGAATTTTTACTCGCAAGTATCAAGCAATAAGAAGCGTTAGGTCCGAAAGAAGCTTCTTCATTACAAATCGATGTTTCGCGAATTAATGTTGTTTTCAGTTTCGCATGAAACGATTTTAAGTACTAACATTCGCGACACGTACAGTGGCCCGCAAAAGTGTTCGTACGCCTTTTAGAACGCTGCAACTTTTTTAAAACTGGACTAAACAACCTGAATTCTTTTTTAGACGATAGAGGGACTAGTCTACTAGTTTCAACAAGTAGTTTCAACAAACCAGTTTCGATAAATACAGCTTGTAACAACACTTCATACATTTAGCAACGTAAAAATTGATAAACCAAGTGTCAGAATAGACGTTCCGTTGAGAGATTCCGTATATTATGTTCGTTTGTTCTATTAGAATCGTGCCGAAAGTGTTTAACAGCAAGAAATTCTACGACTTCTGAGAACGTTTCGTGACAATCGTCTGGAAGAATGAATCATCGCAGGTTAAATTTCTGTCACCTGGCACACTATGCAGCTGATTATAAGCACGATGAATGCAACTCTCTGAACTTTCGCTCTGATCGAATGATCGTAAGGCCAGAGTCCGGCGTAATACAACATAGAGTAATAAACTGCACAATTCTTTCGAAACGTGTCCATTTCGTCCGCGGCTGGTGAATGTCTGCATGGAACGCCGTGGACATCGTTCCTCAATACTTTAATTATGCATCACACATCGTGCACCGTAATATTTATGCTATACCCTTTCCGCTCACAATTGCGTTTGTCGTGCACGTCCATGAAAAGTAATGGTATTTCACATTAATGTCAGACATCCGTTCGAGATCGATAATACGATCAACGCGTTCGAAAATCGTCAGTCTCGTTGCGAACATTATACAAATCGAATCATTCGACGAACACTAATGTTTGCATCGCTGTACAGCTACGTTAACTGTATACACCGGTGAAAGTGAAACGTTGTTTCCAGGTATTTCCGAGCCGCTGTTTCGAGATGCGTCGTTTATAGAAGGCACACGATTCATCGATCAGTGCAATGCAACAATGTAAGAGGATATCACAGAAAACAACAACAGGAGGAAAATAAGAGGAATGAAACAATGGGCATTATAAATTGCAATGAAACCTGATTCGTCGGTATGTATGGAACTGCTTGCAAGCTTCTGTATTTTGTGTCTTGTTAGAAGTATTCTTGATAGGTTAAAAGTCATATTCCAGATCGTGTTTTCGAGATTTTCAATCGCGATTTATGTTAAAGGTTTGGTCTACAGGGTGTCCCGAAATTATTGTACAAGCGAGAGAAAAAAGGGGTTCATGGGGTCATTTGATGTATCTTTCTCATTAGCGAAAATGCAATCCGCGGCTTCGTTTGCGAGTTATTAACGAAAAACGATGACCAATGAGAGACGAGCACGGCTGGCGGTACCCGGCCGAGCCAACGAGCGATCGAAACGCAGTTCCGCTGATTGACTCGGCCGCCTCGCGCCAGCCGAGCTTGCCTCTCATTGGTCGCCGTTTTTCGTTAATAACTCGTATACGAAGCCTCGGAGAAAATTTTTGTAAAGGAAAGAGTTACTTCGAATAACCTCAGGAACCTCTTATTTCGCACTTGTATAATAATATAGGGAGCCACTGTATAGTCGCCTGATAAAAAGCTTTGAAATTGTGGTAGCTAAACTTGCAATTTACAAATTGTAACAATTACGATAGCTTTCTGTTTTCGTACTTACTAGTCATCAGGCGTGCAGAATTTTTTCGTTATACTTGCTCTCTCCGGAGGTCAATCGTTATCGATTATTACTACCGAGACCGTCGTTTCTAAACATTCCACTAGACAGAGTAGAGTACGGTAAAGTATGAAAAAGATGAGCTCATCATCTGAAACAGAAACCTCTTCGAGTCTCGAGCTTATGGGATGCGAATTATTATCGATTACAACGGGATGATTTGAATTACCGTCGTAAAGCCTTGATAACACGGAATAAATAAACCACCAATATTGTAACGAAGTTCGGGCGTACTTCGCATCAATACGAATAGTAACAATTTCTGCGACTTCGGTGGAATGCTGTACCACAACGAGTTGTATCTATTTTATTCAACAGTGTCGTTTCGTTATTTTCTTATTATGCTTGTTTCATCGTAGAAATGACACGTTGCACAATCGTTTATAATTTAACATTGAACGTCCATCGTTCGGTTCAAAATGTACTCAGTTGACTCAAAATGGCGAGTGATTTCAGCTTTTCGTTGTTTCACGACGAAAATGGAAAAAGTATAGTCGCTTGAAATGGTCGAAGCTGCCCTTCGACCGATTTAAAAAGGTTGACGAGTCATTCGACAGACCGTGAAAAGAAAAACGTTACAGATGAAACTTTTGTAAGGTTTTTGGTTTAAGATTTTTGATCGATTTTCCCTAGTGGATATGTAAAGGACGAAGAAATAACTGACTCGTTGCGACACATTCGAAAGTGCTGAGATTAATACTAATATTCGTCGAATAATTATCGAATTTCTTTGAGGTTTTAAACCGTTTTTTTTTTTTAAGATCGATAGAATGGCTCATCAATCGTTTGAATCGGTTGAAAGACAGTTTCAACTTGCTTAACTGTATTTACATGATGACTATCCAAAAAAATCTGGACTTACGTTTCATTATAAACCTTGACACTAACATTGGCGAGTTGCTGACCACTGTAATTATTTAGAAACACAACTAACATATGCGTTACGACTATTGTGATCGTCATGCATGTATCGTCGAAATGAGGCGTATCCAAGATCAACAAGAAAGCCTGTTACATAACAAAGTGCAATGTTATAGAAGATACACTTATTTTAACACCTGAATTCCAAGCATACTTACACGATATAAATTCACTGCGAATGAAACAATAACCACTAAGATCGCTAATAAATAGGAGACCACCATATCGTTGCTTATACAATTAGCGAGTCTTTGGTCAAGAATTCACGTTCCCGTATATCCGTGATTGCAAGAAGCAAGATGAATAGCACACGTCATAAAACAATAATTTGATGTATGTGATAAGAAGGCTACATTAATATCTATATAATGATACCAACTTATAAGCTCTTTGGTGCATGTCCATAGCAGGGCCGATTGCTACATGGTTCGTTGTAATCAACTTACTCGCGTCGTTGACTGCATCTCGTATTCGACAACTGAACGAACAAAAATATATTCACATACTATCCTAATCGATTTGGTATACAGGCTGTTCTAAAAGTCACTCGCAATCGGGAAATAAGGATTTTCTGGTGTCATTTGAAGTGACTTTTTCTTCAACGAAGATGCAATCCGCTGCTGGTGATTCCTGAGATCGTTTGAAGTAACTTTTTCCTGTACAAAGGTTTTCTCCGAGGCATCGTTAACGAGTTATTAACGAAAATCGCTGACGAATGAGAGGCGAGCTCAGCTGACGCGAGGCGGGCAGGCCAACGAGCGCACGAAGCTCCGTTCCGCTCATTGGCTAGAGCGCTTAGCGCTAGCCGAGCTTGCCTCTCATTGGTCCGTGTTTTTCGTTAATAACTCGCAAACGAAGCCGCAGATTGCATTTTCGCTAAGGAAAAAGTTGCTTCAAATGACATTGGAATCCCTCATTTCCCAATCGCTAGTGACTTTTGGGACCCCGTGAAACAATTTCAATGTTCATCAGTAAATAGGTAGAATTAGGTAAAATGGACATTTCGTACTCAACATCATAGTTCAAAGCGAAAAGTTTGGAAAATAGTGTAAAATAATTACATATGGTTGCCGGTTGTAAACAACTGTATAAACGAGGCACAAGGCTCGATTAATCCTACGTTCGCGTGCTGAGCGACCCATGTGATGTGGAATATAACACTAATACTAAAGAATTGACTGTAAAAGTAGTAAACGTGGAGAAAGCAGCTAGTGGAATAATAGCATGTATGCACAATATGTTGAAATAATTATAGCTATCGAAAGGACAACCACGATTGCAATAAAAAAATCTCTATTAGATCTATTAAGTATGAAATACACAATTTAACCTTTTTAATTTTACTATTAAATCTGTGTATTTCATACTTGCCGACCTGTTATACAGTTTCTTAAATGCGAATTCTAGTAAATATCGGCATAATTATATGGACGTACCTAACAATATCGAACAATCCGCATAAGTACAACGAGAAAACTGCGAGCGACCCTTCCGTACACGTGAATGTTAATAAACCAATCGCAGTTGTTGCTGTAAGATGTACGCAAGCCCAGTCAGTCAGTTTGGTTTGCTCCCGATAAAAGAATCCAAAGAATTCAAGGCAAGATAATTGATATTTCAAACGTAAAACTGTAGGGAGCAGTAACTTAAGTGCTACCACCGATAGCCCCGCAATCGACGACCCTGAAATATGAAATCGTCTTTCATTCAACGGTATTATTTTAAACGAGCCTGACGCAAACTGCACAAATCTCAACGACTTTTTTACGAAATCATGTCCGTGGAAATTCATTGTTCCATCATGTCAAAACGGTTTAATATAGCAAGCGATCGGAACAGAAGGCTCCAAAGTAACTTAATAATGCAATGGTTATTTATTTTGTCGCTAATTTCGAGTAATACTTCTAAATACCTGTAGAATATCTATTCTATAATAATTATTGTCCTCACCAATGAAGATTTGCATTACGCGTTTCGTTTTCGTTTTATACTTTGCTAGTATCATCGCCTCAGCAGGATTCTGGATCGTGATACAATCATTTTGTATGTTTTGTATGTAAGATTTTATCTGCAGTCACATTGAAACAGTTAGGCTCGTAATGTACAAGGAACAACGGTTAATTAATTATTTCTCTGTTCAGCGTGCATCGCGGTATAATGTAGTAGAGTGCCACTTTATTGTACATCTACTTAGAATTAGTGAACAATTTATTAGAATATCTGATCCTAAGATGACGGTAATAAATAAATGGAGAGCCATTTCGCGGAAGAATTAGGCATTTTACTGAAATCGCATTCTAGTTGGATGTTAAAAGTTGCAGAGATAAAAGGAAAAACATAAAAAAAAACATTGATAATATGATCGATAAAGAACGTATCGCTTGTATATCAATTTCATTAAAATACAACGTATTAGTCATAATAATGTAAGTAGTACTATTCATATATCTAAAATGCGAAATCGTACTAGAGATTTTGATTCGTTGAAACACGGAATACGAAGGGGGTGTAGTCAAAGTGATGCATTGAATTCTCCGTACTTACTAGTGGCATATTGACAACAAAAGCAAGATATCGGAAAACGAACAATAACATCGGACAAGTAAACGATAACAACGTAAGTATATTGTTTAACGTCAATTCTACGTGCTGTATCGTGTAAACCTAGAAAATATAATATTTCATTTTTAATCAGAGTGGCTAGTTTATATTGTACGGGAGAAAAAGAAAGAAATAAAGACATTTTAATTCCATAAGTATACTAAACAACGAATCTAAAATGAAGCGTGTGTAGATCTCATCATTTTCACATACATTACGAAATACATTACATATAAATATATGCTCGAGGCTAGTAAGTAATCGTTATAAAAAATTATACAAGAGTGTCGGATTAAAAATTTAGTTATTTAAAAATGTACATATTACGTGTTGTAATATATTTTGCTGACAAAATGAGACTATGAACTTAAAAGCAGTGTATTTGAAGGACATTGTTGCTTTTCATTTCACTACAGAAAATCTCATCGTTTTGGAGTCACGAACACAGTAAAGGTTAAAAAGAATTATTGACTAAACACTAAGAACGATGTCCAGTCATCTGGCCTTAACGTTTTTTTGTGAAAACGATAATCTGTAATTCGATTGCGATCAACACTTATATCATCGGCAAAATGCAAATAAAATCACGTTAATAGTGAGCAAAATAAATATTTATCACCTGAATCGCGATACAGGACATTGGAATAATCGAAAAAACGATCCTCTGAACTTTTCGAAGAATGGATTCATCGAAAGGCCAAAGTCCTGCGAAGCGTAAAGCGCAATAGTAGGTGGAATAGTTCCTTCGAAACACGTCCATTTCCTGTGCTGGTGA